TTGCGATCAGCGCCTTGGGATTCCAAGCGCGGGTATGTCGGGACGTGGGCGGCACCGGCGTGGCTGTGGCTAAGGGCGTGGAAGGAGTCAGAGCAGCATCATCGCTTGCGTGTGCGTGTGCGTGTGCGGGTGCGGGTGGATGGCAGATGAGGACGACGACGTCATGTCGCTTTGCGGCATCGGTGAGCATGGTGCGGCGATCATCGGTCATGGTCATGCCTTTGGACTTGTAGAGCGCGTCGAAGGAGTGGATGAGGATGCGCGTGACTTGCTGCCTGTCCACGTCGGAGCGAATGGGGCGCACGATGAGGCAGCCTGGGTCCATGCTGACTGTCATGGTGATTCTGGGCTGGGGCGGGTGCTGTCTGAATACGCGATCACGAAGCAAGCAGGGTGACACTCACGAATCAACATCTTGTGCGAGTGTGAATGTGAATGTGAATCTCGATCCATTCACCTCAACACATCGATCGACCAGGCACAAGTCCGAGTCCGAGTCAACCTTTGCCTCCATGCCATGCCATCCATTCACGATTTGCAGCTCCGCCCCGTGTGATGACAGGCCAGTCAGGCGAGGCTCCGTCACATGACTGCTGACCGTGCATGCATCAGTCTTGAGTCTTGAGTCGGTGGATCGCAAGCTGCAGCTTCCCGCAGCGGCGTCGGCCCGATGCATCAGCGATCGAGTGTGGAAGCATGCATGTCATGCAAGGCAGGCGAGTCACAGTAAGATCACTCACACTCGTCACTCCCGAGGCGAGGCGAGGCGAGACAGGCTTGTCTGGCGACACAGCGAGCCGTTCGTGATTGTGATTCACATTCTCACACTCGCACTCACACTCACGACTCGGGAGTCACTGTCACGGATGATCAACTCATCGCGAGCTTTACAGCAGCGCATGTCATCTCGCTCGCGACATGGGCAGCTGAGGTGAGCCGTCTCATTGCGGGAGCGTTTGACAAGCAGCTCGCTCGTGATTTGCATAAATCGTGGTCGCATCTTTGCACTCGTCGACACAGCACGCACTCTTCGCATCCCAGCTATCAGCGACACTGCCTCTCAAGCACCAGCACCTGCACAAACATGGCTGAGCTCTTTGACAACGTCAAGTTCGAGAAACCCTCGGGCGAGTTTGGCGATGAGGTGGTGGCTAGACTGCCCCATCGGGTCCGCGCCAAGACATTTGTCGTCACAGGCGCCAGTCCAGATTCTCTTGCTCTCGCCGCGGTGCAGTCGCTGGTCAAAGGCGGGGCCGGTCGAATCTTCCTGCTCGGCCGGAGCCAAGGCAAAATTCAAGCAGCAATCGATAGCCTCGGCCAGGTCGACACCGTGCTCGTTCCCATCATTGCTGATCTCACCTCGATTCGATCCGTGCAAAAGGGCGGCGAAGAGATTGTAGCCAAGGCGCAGGACTCTGGCATCGACTACGTCCTCGCATCCGCTGGCATCATGGCCACTCCATGGCAGTTGACGCACGATGGCATCGAGTCGCAATTCGGAGTGTGCCACGTCGCTCACTTTGTCCTCACAAAAGTTCTCCTCCAGGCCGCTCAAGAGGCGCACCGACCCGCACCGAGGTTCTCATACGCCTCTAGCACTGGCTATCACGGTGGCAATTTCCGCGGCGACGACTACAATTTCAAGCAAGGCGCAGAGTACCACCCTTGGGTAGCGTACGGCCAAGCCAAGAGCGCAAACATCATCTTGGCTCGCGAGCTGGCAAGGCAGAAAGCCGGGGTGATGGCTTTCAGCGTCGACCCCGGCATGGTCAAGACTCGATTGGCTCGATCTTTGTCCAAAGAGACGATGATCGCTTTCGGCTTTGCGGACGAGAATGGCGTGCCCAAGAGCACAGGAACGTCCACGTTCGGCTTGGAATTCAGCACGCACGAGCGAGCGGCTGGACAGATGCTCTACTCGCTCTTGGATCCTTCCCTCGAAGCTCAGAACGGCGCATTCATCAGCAACGGCAGAGTCCTCGCAGTGGATGCTGCTCAAACGGAAGAGGTGAGTGTGTTTCTTGTCGACAGTGACGAGCCGCCCTGACTCTTTTTGCGTCATTCATCTGTCAGGGCCTGTCTCAAAAGCTTTGGCAAGTCAGCGAAGATATCGTCAGTCGTGCCTTGCAATGAGCCGCACGTCTGATGTCTTTCTGCATAGGCCGCTGTCCGTTTCGCAACTCGCGTTCGTCCAGAGCGAACAAAGGCTACTGCTGCACAGCAACATCATCCTCTCAGTCGTCGGCGCAAGGACCCGATGTCCGATGCAAGAGGAAGTCTCCTTTTTCCCTTATTCCCGCCTGGACGCTAGAAGTACGATCAATGCTACCTCGACGTAGCACAAATGCTTGTGATTTTGAAAGGACCGGGCCGGCTGCGAGGCTTCGGACTCGTGTGGAATCGGCGCACTGAGCAAGACGGTAAGGGGGATTGCGACTTGCATTTTGCTGTGGCGCTTTAGACGGAACGAAATTGCTTCTCGTTCGCAAACACCGCGAGGAGCAGACACAAGACGGGCATAGATGCCGGGCGTACAGCGCACACCCAGGATACATTTCACGGCCCGAGTCATAGCGTTGGAAACGATCGCACTCTAACAAAACGCGACGACGCGACGGTATATTAGCTCGCTCAAATGATGGTCTGACGCTCCGCTCACGGATGAGATCATGGTATGGAAGATAGTTGAGTGCGTATCTCGCATACATGGATGGCTATGTAGGTGATTGTGCGACGCGTACGTGATGCCATGCATCACGTGGCACTCCCCTGAAACCCGGCGTTGAAAGAATGTCGGGTTGAGAGACGTGTAAGTGGTACATGGTAAGGTGAGTATTGCAAATGATCGAGAACAATGCATCTATGCGCAACGTGCGTTTTTGAGATCAGAGACAGGCGGCCGTGGGTACTGGACCCAGTCCAATTGCTGAGCAGTGTGCGTTCAAGGTGGCTCGTGGCAGAAACTTTGTAAAGATGTTGGCAAGCTCATATCTGGTGCGTTTTGCCACGACGTCGCAGTCCTTGCGTGAGACGCACTCTCAGACGAAGTGCTTTTCCACTTGCACGTGGTGCATGCGGTACGGATCCTTGCCGTTGCGTGCATCAGCTACCGCATCTTTGTTGTCGCAGTGTATTGGAGCCTGTTTGACTCTAGAATGCGCTTGCAAAAGTTTTTGAGGGGGTTTGTAGTAAAGTGGCGCACCAAGAAGCATTCCCCTGGCTCTCAGGTATCAGAATGCACCTCATTTTGGTTGTAGCATGGCTCAACAACTTTTGCAAAGGGTGTGCGCATGCACGTGCTGTGTGTGTGAATCTTGAATGCGCTCGCAAAGGTTGTTGAGGGGGTTTAGGGTAAAGTGGCATACCAAGCAATGTTCTTCTGGCTCTCAGCTATCAGAATGAGACCTCATTTTGGTTGTGGGGTGGCTCAACAACTTTTGCAGAGGGTGTGCGCGTCTGGTGCGTGTGCAGTGGCAGTGAACTAGAAAGCGCTTGCGAAAGTTGTTGAGAGCATTTGGAGACATTTGGCTTACCAGGCAGTGTTCCTCTGGCTCTCAGCTATCAGAATGAGACCTCATTTTGGTTGTAGAGTGGCCCAACAACTTTTGCAGAGGGGGTTGATGTGCGGGGCGCATGCGGTGGCAGTGAACTAGAAAGCGCTTGCAAAGGTTGTTGAGAGCGTTTGGAGACATCTGGCTTACCAGACAGTGTTCTCCTGGCTCTCAGCTTAGGGTTAGGGTTACAAGGGTGTCCCATTTTAGGGTTGGAAATGTTTGATAGCCAGTTTGTAGAGCACATTGAGGAGTGTCTTGTGGCAGAAAAGTTTTGAATTTGCGATAGCCTACTGGTATAAGTCGAAGATTTTACGCGGTAAACTAGGCCGCACCCCGCCAAAAAGACGCGTCCGGATGTCCGCGGACCTTGATTTTGAAGATTTTACGCCGTAAACGTGCGCAGACAGATTCTGCCATACGCGCCATACGCGCCGCCGCGTCCCTCTTTCTCGGCCGGTAGCGCGCGTCCTCGAGCCAGAGGCGCGCGCGCGCGCACACCATGCGTAATTTATCCGCTGCATCTTCAGTCTGCGCGCGGCGCCAGCGTTGCATTGCGCATGCGCACGGGTTTTGGCCGTGAGATCAAATTTGATCGCACACCCAAGCACGCACGCAAGCACGCACGCAGCGCGTGACTGTGAGAATACATTTGATCCGCTCATTGTCCCTGGCACCGACACTTTGATATGCTGGTGTACGGCAAACAGACCATCAAATGAGAAGCCAATTACACCATCAGGAAGCTGTGATAGAGGCATTCTGTGTGGTGCAATTTGCTTCTCCAGATGGTGCCTCAGTGAGCAGAGAACACACGCACAAACCAAGAGTGGTGCGCGTCAACTTCTCACCAAACAGGCGCGCTGGCACCGACACTTGGAGGGCCCACTCTGGAGGCTCTTGTTCACCAATTGGCTTGTTCAGACGCTCACTGGGTAGGTTTGATAGGGGCATTTGCCGTAGTCAAGACAGTTGTGCTAGAACAAGGGCCAGCAAGCAGTGACAAGCGCTCAAAGATTGGCATGCGCAAGGACAACAGGCGCGTCATTCTTGTTGTGCCGGCGTAGCTGCACCACTATACATGCCATCTGTGCCTCGGCAGTGACGCGTACCGCGCGTGCTGCTCACAGCCCCTCATTGTCCCTGGCACCAACACTTTGATGTGCTGGTGTACGGCAAGCATGCTACCAAATGAGATGCCAATTACACTGTCAGGAAGCTGTGACAGGGGCATTTGATGTAGTCAAATTAGATCTGCCAGAACAAGTACCTGCAAGCAGCAACAAGATCTCAAAGATGGGCCTGTGCAAGGACAATGAGCGCGTTGGTGCTGGCGTGCGCGTGTGGCTGCACCACTGTACGCATCAAGACCTCTTGTCTTTCACTACAGACAAGGCTTGTTACACGTAGCAAAGGGCCTTCTTTGCGCCAGTGACACTTGTTCCACCATGCACAAGAGCTACACTTGGCTACCTGTGCGTCAACAAGGCAAGTGCTGCTCATGATGGGCGCACAGCTTGCTCTGTAGCACGCTCCAAAGCTATAAAGATGGGATGTGAGATGCTCTTAGGCCCAACTCTCCTCGTCAATCACTGAATCACTCACTGCTCAATACACAGCACCATCTCTTGCCCAAACCGCCCTTCCCCTTGACAAATTTCAACATGTCCACCGCAACCATTCCCACCACTGAGCAGCGCGCTCAAGCCCTTGCCCTGCAGTACCCATATCTCCCTCAATGGCAAGTCATTGTTTGCCTGCACTGCGCAAGCTGTGTCTGTCCAGGCAAGGATGCCATTACTCGACACCTGTACAAGCACAGCGTAACTGGACCAGAATTGACAGTG